TGCTTCACCTATTCCCTTATATGTACTTTATCATGAAATCCTATAGCTCAGTGTGGAAATCCTATAGCCTACGTGCAGAACTCTTACAAGGTACGTGTACATGTAGAAATTGTGTAGAAATCTTGCAGTCTACGTGTAGAAATTTTGTGTAGAAATCTTACTGTCTGCGTGTAGAAATTTTACAGAGTACGTGTCACTTTACTTTACTTTTTATTCTAAAATTTTATTCCTAACATGCTGTGAACCAAATCAATCATTATAACAATTCTATGTACTTGTATATATTGTTAACTGTATGCAACATGAATGAGGTTATATTATGTTAATTTTGGCAGAAATTTTGAAAATACAAGTCACTGGAAGTAAAACATATGGATAGCAGTGGGTTTTTAAGGCACCAAATTTCTTCCAAATACATGTGTTGATTTTCAGCAGTTCTGATAATATTAAATAGAAAATGAACAATTATTCTTTGGTAATTAAAGCAGTAGCTGGTAAAGTATATAAGGAATACAAGCGTGGAAAACATGACGTCAAGCAAGGGAGACCATCACACACCAGTTTCCAAAATTAGCAAGAGTCAATAAAATAACAGCTTAATGACTTCTAAAAATAGTTGCTGCCTAGTTATTGAGTATCGTGACCTACATTAAATCCGGAATCTATTTCCTGTGACTAGTAGCATAAATCACATGTATTTATATTCTGTTTGGGATTCTTTGGGATTAGCAGTGAGCTTTTAGGCCTGACCTTGAAAGGTCTTCTTATAAGTGTCCAAATTGTACTTCATACAGCATACATACAGGTATCACACATTTTTACTGTACTGGAAATAGTTAAAACAAGAGTGTAGTAGGATCTAGGGCTAGGCATACAATTAAAGAACAATGAAATAAAGCCAAACACTGAATTATTTTATTGGAAACAAAAATTCACAAACAGACAATCTCAGAATTTCAATAATAACAACAATAATAATTTCAGACATCAGTACATCAGTAATAATTTCCAGATTCTCAGTTGTTGCTAAGTCTTTAATTAGTAGGATTTACTTTAAGTAGATAAATATACATGAACTTAATAATATACTGTACATATTATTTATGTGTAGCTAGTCCCTTACAGCTATTTATATAGTGATTTTTTCAAAATTACACAGGCGCTGAAAACGTGGCTTATGGCAGTTTATGCACTTATGGCTATTGCAACATCCCCATGGTCATGGTGATCATAATTCGGACACTTGGCAACCAGCATGTCTTTATGATGGTTGTAGTGGCCCAGGATGATATGATCACCATTTGTGACCTTCCCACTGGCTTCCAAGGAGCAAACTCAATGGGAAAAGCCAGATTCGGACTATGAGATTTGCTTAATACTTAGGGAAAAAGAGATCATAAAATTGGGTGTGCTCATGTGATGACTTAATAATTGCATCACTTAGCTATGGAGGTTCCAGTCACTATTATTGTAAGTCAAGGACTATTCATATATAGATACCTATATAGTGTTCTTTGATGTAAAAATCATTTGTTGGTGTCTTCTTCTGGATTTTTTTTTTTAACTTCTTGGACTACAACCCTGGGATGGCTCCCCTCCAAGTACTAAATCCAACACTACTTAGCTTTTTCAATCAACCAAGGTTGAATAACTTGCTATTGACTGTATACTTAACAGTGACATTCCTATTTATAACCATATTTATTCATTTATATTTGCATCAATTCTTCTGTTTTTAATCTGAGTTTATTCAAGTTAATTACTACTTTATTTATAAAATTTATTGGCCACCCATCTTGGTACAATCACATGGTACCTTTATTGATTCTTAGATAGACAGCTTTAGAATAAAATACAGAAATTAGTAATTTGATAAGTGAAAGTAAATGTGAAAGCAAAATTCAATAACAGCCTTTATTTTAACTGATCAGGCTGTATTGGTGTTACATAAACTATGTGTGTTGAACAGCATGTTGTTTCTGGAATCAAAATAATCAGCAGAGGAATGTGTTGGTGAATATATTATCTGATATTTCATTTCATTTAAAAATGATGACATAAATTTGAAACATCTTAATTTTTTTATTCTTCATTATTCAGGTAAGATTAGATGTCTTAAGTTTTGTTGTCTCTTGTACTTCACTACTGAATATGATTACATGATTTAAAGTATAATTATTTTCAGATGATTGCTTTCATGGTTGTAGCAATTATAAAGCATAATTTATTCATAGTGTTTTTATGTTTCCTTTCAAAACCTGTTTCTCCAGGCTAGTATTTCCAGAATAAGCAGATTTTTAAGAAAAATCAAGCATAATATCATTGTTGTCTCCATCATTGTATATTCACTCCAAATCATTGCGACTAAAGGTTCTATAGTTGGCACATCACTAACCTATGGTTTAGTTATTCAAACATAGTTTATTTAATAAACTATAGTTGGGGGAGCTGCACAACATGCTAAGGGGACACAAAAATATGTTATGACTTGAATAGGGGGCTGCTACTAAGAAGACATGCATATAGTCTTTGGTGCAGTTATCTATTTCAACAAAATATACTGTAAATACTGATAATCTTTCATGGTAACAGGTTAAATTTCTTTTAGTAAGAATTATTGAATAATGTAATACCTGAGTTGGTTTTATCTAAACAGTAGGTGTTGTCAATATTTTCCCGCACACAATAACTTCATGCATACTGAAGTAATTCAATTTACAGAGTTCACAGACACAGCAAGCCATAATCTAGCCCACATGTCTCATTTATACAACTAACTTCATACCATCATGCCCACCAATTGTTCATTCCTATCAGCCATTATCTTGTGTGGAATGGAATAAGCAGGGTGCTTGGGCAAAGAGTGCATGGTTGTAAGAAAGGCTTCTTAGAATTGTATTATTTTAAAATAAGTTCAGAACAGTTAGCGGTCTTCTCCAATAGGTAAATGTCTTGTGGATTAGTTGCAGCTGATTTAGTACAGTTTTCCAAATGTATAGACATATTTCTTTTATAGCAGATGAACCTACTTAAGAAAAGTTAGTTATAGTCCTCAAATATTTAATATTGATAAAAGACAATCCTCTTTATCTCAGATTGGCCTAACTTTAGTTAATGTTAACATGTCTGTAGGGTTTTTTGGGTGACATCTGGAATGATCATCTGGATTTTTGCAACTCAGATCTGGCAGGTTGGTGAAACCATGTGAGGGTACCCAGGCACTTAGGCTACCCAACTGCAAGCATCTGGCAAAAATCCATTATCAGGAACCACTGAAAATGTGATTTCCAGTTGGAAAAATGTTCTTCTTTTGTGCTGTTTCAGCTTGGATTCATTGTGGAACATTAACATTGTGGAACATTAACATTAACATTTAACAGAGGGATAGAATCAAGATCACGTGAAGTATTAATACCACTTTACAATGCCTTGGTAAGGCCACACTTGGAATACTACATCCAGTTTTGGTCACCACGATGTAAAAAAAGATGTTGAGACTCTAGAAAGAGTATAGAGAAGAGCAACAAAGATGATTAGGGGACTGGAGGCTAAAACATATAAGGAATGGTTGCTGGAATTGGGTATGTCTAGTTTAACGAAGAGAAGGATGAGGGGGGACATGATAGCAGTGTTCCAATATCTCAGGGGCTGCCACAGAGAAGAGGGAGTCAAGCTATTTTTCAAATCGCCTGAAGGCAGGACAAGAAGCAATGGATGGAAACTAACCAAAGCGAGAAGCAACCTAGAACTAAGGAGAAACTTCCTGACAGTTAGAACAATTAACCAGTGGAACAACCTGCCTCCAGAAGCGGTGAATGCTCCAACACTGGAAGTTTTTAAGAAGAAACTGGACAGCCATTTGTCCAAAATGGTATAGGATTACCTGCCTGAGCAGGGGGTTGGACTTGATGACCTCCAAGGTCCCTTCCAACTTTATTATTATTATTATTATTATTATTATTATTATTATTATTATTATTAGCAGTAATTCTGAAGGCACAGCCCTTCAGAAGTGATAAGATAGGTTTCATATTTCACATGCTGTCACTTGCCTGAAGATGATGAAAATTATTTACTTTCAAGGGCCTTTATTAAAAGAACAGTCTCAAGAAATACTGGAAAGTGATAAAAACAGGTTTTAATTCATTGTTTGTTAGGCTCTTCTGGAAGGCCTATTTGTTATTTTTATTGCTATAATTGTGGTAGTGATGATTATTACTATTATTATTGTACTTAATCCAGATGCATTTGGACAAGCTTATGGAATTCAAGCTTATGAACTTTTCATTCTGCAAAGTATCATTCAGGCAAACAATTTCTAAATCTTTTCTTGTCTCATGAGTGAATGTTCTAATTTTGTTATTGCTATTAAAAGCAAGAATTTTTTTAAAAAAAATCATTTGAAAACATTTTTCCAAGTCATAATTTGTTTCCAATAGTCTTCTTCTTGGTGTTGATAGAATTTTGTAAATAATAATGAGCTTTCTCCCCATTTTCATGGAGTTCATTAAGTCAGTGAAATATGCTAATCATTACATTAAGTACCTTTGGAATGTACGTTATTGGTCACTGGGAAATTCATTCCTGTAATGTTTAACTTCTTCTTCTGCAATTATTCTTTATTAGGCGTTCAGGAGGTGTCAAAGCAAATCTGCCATATATGTACCAGGAAAGGGTGATTTTTCAGAAGAATCCCCAACAAAGATCCCAACAGAATTGTTAGGGTACTGTGGACACTGAAATGGAAAGCATGGCATTTCAGCTGCTGGGCTTTTTTTTTTGAGTCTTCTTGGCTTAGCTGGAACCATCACTGCAACCATCTTGCCTCACTGGTGGGACAGCGCTCATGTGGGAACCAATATCATCACAGCCGTCGCATACATAAAGGGTCTCTGGATGGAATGTGTTTGGCAGAGTACTGGGATCTCCCAGTGTCAGTTCCATCATTCACCGCTTGCTTTGCCTCGCAACCTTCAAGCAGCCCGGGCCATGATGGTGATATCGTGCATTCTTTCAGCTCTAGCCTGTGTGACTGCTGTTATTGGCATGAAGTGTACCCAATGTGCTAAAGGGTCCTCCTCCACCAAAAACATCTTTGCTGTCCTAGGTGGCATCCTTTTCATACTGGCTGGAATTGTGTGTCTCATCCCTGTTTCTTGGACGACAAATGTTGTGGTGACTAATTTCTACAACCCAATGTTGCCCGATGGGATTAAATATGAGATTGGGCATGCCCTTTACCTTGGCTTTGTGTGTGCTTCACTGAGTATAATTGGTGGAATAATCTTGTGTGCTTCGTGTCAGCAGGGGGAGAATGACATAAATTCCCAACAACAATCAAGAAGTGCAAGATTAGCTCCATCCTCCAGACCACCAATGGCTTACAAGTCAAATCACAGTCCTTCACAAGCATCTGCTTCTTACAATGGTTACAGGTTAAATGATTATGTATAAATTCTGTGGGACTTCTCTTAAGTATATGTTGCTGTCGGTGTTTCTCTAAATATGTTTGTATATGTGTATATAAATTATGTTATTACATCTATGATGTTTGTGGTATTATCAATGTACTATAATTTCCATGTACTGTTTATTACTATTTTACTTTTCATATAATTAATGCAATTTTAAAAAAAGTTGTTTTGAAGCTTGAAATTAGAATAAGTAGCTTTTTTCTAGAGAAAGACTGCAAATATTTACAAAAAACGGTTTCTGATTTCAGAGACAGGCTGCTGAGCACAAGAGTTCCAGACTGTGGAACTGTATCAAGGCACACTTGGTACAAAAAGGTCCAGATGTGTTGTTATTTTAGTAGCGATCATTCAAAGTAGTCTCATACTAAGTATTTTGATCATGTAAATAGATAATTTTGTATTTGTACTTCATTGTATACTTACAGGATATTTTGACAAATGTGTATTTGTGTGTATCTGATTCTAAGACATGAACAGAGACAAAGAAAACAAAGCTGTGTAATAGCTCTGTCCTTTGTATTGGTTTCCTATCAGTCATGCAATGTAAGGCAGGAAATGTGGATGTAAGGTTAATTTGGCTATGACATTGACCACCAGGATTGAATTTAAAAGTGTTATGATTCCATTTCAATAGCCTTTTGACTCCATTTCCTTGTAAATGGGAAATTCTCATTTAAATTGTAAATTTAATTGTAAAGGCAATTTTCATTTCCTTGCAAATGAGAAAATTTGCCTCTTCTATATATAATTGACAATGTGCAATGGTTAGTATATGGGAGAGTGTCATCTCAAACTATATTAGGAAGTTGAAAAAGCAACCCGGAAGAATGCAGTAACAAACCTGTATGATTGTCAAGAACAGTAGACAGATATGTTCATGTGAATGTAGTCACTAGGACTTGAGCATGACTCAAGATATTGAGGAGGAGGAGGTGGAAGAGGCAGAAGATAGGGTGACTTGATGGAAAAACAGGCTCCTTTCTATTGTTTACCACAATGAACCAATTATGATTTTGGTCAATCTCTTTCTTCAAAGGTAAACTTATTTCCCTTCACTTTTGTCTTTAGTCGCTGCACATGATAATCTCTAGCAGTACTATAATTTGATTAGCATATGCTATTAAGGCTGAGTGTGATTGATTGATTGATTGATTGATTGATTTTGTATGCTCTCCAGGAAGAACTTCATGCTCTGTGGGAGAACCTTGCCAGTTTCCAGGCACTGGGTTGCTATTTCTACATTACCTGTTTCACATACACACACACACACACACACACACACACAAATGGTGATGTCCCCTAGTAGTTTTGTGTATATGTTATAGAGAATTGGAGAAACTCCCAAGATACAACAAAAAAAGTAAATATTTCTGGTTTAATTTTTCATCTCTTCCCTGACTGGAACCACCCATTCTGGGAGAACAGTTTCTGCAAGATAGTGCCCCCCCCAGTTCATTAGAGACAGTCCCAAAGGATGCCATTGTTGAAGGTATCAAAAACCAGAAAGGTCAAGGAGGACCAGAAGGGTTGTACTTCCCTTTGCGTGACAAATGTAGTTTCCTGTTGTATCCTGACCTGAAATATGCAGCATGACTCCAAATAATCTGCTTTCTCTAAGACTGAGTTGTACCACTTTCTGTACAACCGGTCCTAGAGAAAAGGGAAATAGTTATACTTTCCTGTCCTCTTGAATGTTGCCATACAATTCAAACGTTATGAATAATCATGCCTATTAATAATTTTTTTTCATTATGTTTCTTCTTAGCCCTTGATAATGTTTATGTAAGAAACATAATTAGTTGATATAGCTAAGTCCTATGCTTATTATAGTTTATTTTCAAAACAAAAGACATGGCTTTCTATTTAGAGCTTCTTTTTTCAACCTGCTACGTTCAGATTCGTAAAAACTAAAAATTCCAGAATTCTTAGTCAGAGGCCTTGCTGACATCATAAGGAGGCACATGAAATTGGAAAGGGATGGTTTATAGCAAGATGATTGCAATCCATGGCATATGCTAAAGCTGTATTTGTGGGGGCATTTATATTAGTATATGAAAACAAGCCATTATTATTTCTTTTGTATTAGTTGTTCATGGGGAATTGGACATGGGATAAAAAAATTAAAATTTCAGCTTGAAAAATATTGTAGTTATATCCTTTAAAAAAAAAAGCAACATGAAAATTCATTATTTAAGGAATAAAACTGTTTTTACCTACAGGTCATATGCTAGAAATCCTATAGTTAGTACTATATATTTCAAATGTAGTTGAAATAGATTATTAACATGAGCAATGATGAGAAAATGATGAGAAAGGTACTTTGGATTATACTTGCTTTCCTCCTTCTGAAGTAATAAATCTATAAAAGCTCTGACATTTTTCCAGAATAAACTGTTGTGAATTATTATAAAACAGTGACATCAAATGGCCAAATTGTGTATAACATTACACTGCCAGTATCTGAATATTTTTCAAAACCTGAGCTAATATGCTACATATTTCCTGTTGTTTATTTATTTACACACACACACACACTGAATACAAGCAGCATGTCTGCACTTTATTTGTAGTCTAAGGCAAATTGCATTTCCACACAGCAGTTCAAATTGCTAAAATGATTTCTAGTGGAATTCATATTGGGAATGAGACTGATGAGACTTGGATTAATATGAATTAATTAAATTAATATGAATTAATTTAAATTAGCAAAACCCACTAATTTAAATGATTATGAAGTACAATTTGGTGAAGTATTATTTTTAGCTTCATTTTTACAGCTTAGAAAATATTAACCTAATTGGAGCTACTTACTTCAGGTAACCCTTTAATATATTTATTCTAGTACTAGCTGTACCCGGCCATGCGTTGCTTTTACGTCCAACATATGGCGCTATTTTTCAAAAAAAGCATGTTTTTACCTGTCACAGGTGTGACATCTATATAATAGTAGGTATATAAAAACACGCGCGTATTCGAATGCAACGTTGTGTCAAAATTTCAAAGCAATCGGTGAAGAACTTTTGGAGAGTTAAGATTTTGAACAAACAAACATTTACATTTTTATTTATATAGATTTAACATCAAGCTGTATTTTCAGAATTCCTTGTTTCCTCTGTAACTTTCAAGCTGTTCCAGGGGATTAAAGGGAGGGAAGACTCTTTTGAGACAGCATGGCGATCTCAGAAGGGAGATAAACTGGTAAAAACTATTCTCTCCTGTTCATACTAAGGTCTTCCACTAACCCTGGATATGACCTAGAATTAGCTTAAGTACAAAATAAGACAATTACATAAAAAGTGGGCTTTTTAAAAAAATGATTTCAATTCATCCAAGATTCAGTAGAAATCTAAACAAAGTGGCATGATTACTACAAATCTATAGGTCCAAGATTTTATCCACACCTTTTCTTCAAAGGATTTGAGGACTGGACAGATGCAAGATTATTAAAGAGAGAGCCAAATTAGAATTAAGGATTCCATGACAGTGAGAACAATTTATCAGTGGAACAGCTTTACTGGAGGTTTTCAAAAAAGAGATTAGATAATTTGTCCAGAATGGTACAAGGTCTTCTGCTTGAGCAAAGGGTTGGACTAGAGCAAGGGTCCCCAACCTTGGCAACTTTAGGACTTGTGGACCTCAACTCCCAGAATTCCTCAGCCAGCAAAGCTTTGTTTTTAATTAAATCTGAGATGACCATTTTTTAAAAAGCAAATTACTAAAACGAACACCAGAGGATACAGATAAAAGTGTGAATGTTAATGTTAAATATTCTGCTCTATATAACTATGGGAACAGTTGAAACAGTTTTCTTACAACATAATCTTTAAAATTAGAAATTTATAACTTTTTAAAACAATGTACCCATTGCCCACACATAAACAAATTTATATCACATAGACATTTGAAGACTTCTTTTTAATGAGCTTGGATACAATGAATGTAGAAAATTTAAGTAGTGAAGGCTTTCAAACTTAAATCCAACTTCTAATCTCTGGTACATTTTTCTTGGTGTGTAAGGAAAACATTCAGATTTACTGATACTTTCATTTAACTAATGTAGGGCAGCTAAGTAATCAACTGCCCACCTTAAAGATTTGAAAGAGAGAAGGAATATATTAGTTTACAAATGTTATACTGTGTCAATTAGCTAAATAATTAAGTAAATGCCAATTGAAAAGCAATGATTTCTCTACCAGATACAGAGCCAAGAAAACAGAACACATATGCCTTTCTCATATAATCTGTAAATCCTTATTGGTCCATTATGTAGCCAATACTTTGCTTAAAATGTCTAAAAAACACTGATGCATTTTCTTCCTCACCACAAAGTCATGTTTTATAATGGCAAATGCCATTCTGAGTAAACCTCTTTCACAGAGTACGGTAACTGTGTTGTAGAAAAAGGTCCCCAACGTAATAAAGCATTTCGATGGATTTATATTTTGTTTTCATTTTCAGGAAATCCAATTATGGAGTTTCATCCATTCTTAGTCGCTTAGGTGATGGTGGATTTTGTAATTGGTCTTCAGGTGGTGATGGTCTCTCTGAAATATTGAAGAATTCAAGAAATGTTTTAGTATTTTAAAAACCTGGACTGATGACGTATATATTCTTTATAACGCTATCTCTGCATGGGTTGTTCAACCAGAATGAGCAGCGTCAAATTATGACCAATAGAGATAAAATCAATTTACTTAGTAATTGTTTTACAATAACATCTGAATAAATTATCAACAATAAGGTATTTTACCATGCTGAGTTGTATTTCTGGAAGAATCTGGAGTAGCTGCTTTTAGAGGAATCAATGCAACTCTCCTAAGAACAAGAACAAAACCATGGCACATTAGAAGATATGCAAGTGTGTTTTTCTCCTACCTGCTTTCTTTAGTAATGCGTTTCTCCTTCAACTTTCCTTCCCTTTTCTCCTTGTTTCTCCTGACTCTTCCACCTTAGAGCTATCATTCCTGGAAGCCTGTTTATTTCTTGATTCCAAATTGTAACGTTAAACTTACCTTGGTGACTTACTCCATGCTTGTAGAGTATTCAATGTAACCCTCCTGGATTGGTTTACTTTTGATGTGTGAACTGATGGCTGCCCAGATTTTTTATCTTCAGAAGATGACATGGAAATGTTTTTAACCGTAACAGGTATGGAGTACAAGTCTTTACTATTGGTTGGAGTCTGGCATGTAGCTGATGGTTCTCCAGACTTAAGACTGCCATCCACTGGTTTTGAAACTGGAGAGACAACACTTGGAGACTGACCCTTTTTAATTTTCTTTTCCGCTGTGCTAGGTGTTTTGATATTAATGGCTGGCTTCTCTTTCAATGGGATTCCAAGTTCACCTTCTTCAAATGTCACAAAAGAACAATATCCATCCGTAGAAGAAATAGCAAGAAATGATCCATCACTAGACCTGGCATATTTTATGGGGAAAAAGTAGATAAAAACTCAGCTCTGATTACTTTCAAGTAACAAAAATATACACATAAAACTCTGGAAAATTACTTGAATCTAATTGATATTTGTACCCAAGTGATCCATTCAGAATGAAAGCATAAATGGATTATAGTTAATGTCTAAAACTATTAAACATGGTACAATAATTGAACATATTATCATATTTAGCTAATAGGAAATGAGTAACCTCTACTTCAATTGCCTGACAAGGATCAAATTACATTGATTGATAAAAACAGAAATTGTTGATGATAAAAGCATGAGCAAGAAGTGAAATAACTTCAGAGTTCACTGCTGAAAAGCCTTTGAAGATTAGCAAGATTGCTTAATGTATTTTAATCCAGTTTTTAAAAAATAAAATAAATCAGCTAAGATTATAGGGAACCGATAGAAACCTATTTGATGTTTGTATAAAGTCTAAGTCAGAATTCTGTTCTCTTTTTCCTCATCCAATTAACATTTTGCTTTCATCTCAATAATTTTATGTTCATTTTATCCCATCCATTTTCTTCTTTTCTGTTGTTACTGCTGGAAGGAGGGAAAGAAAACATATTGGTGTTTCAGTGCTCATGTGTTCTGGTATGTGAGAGCAATTTGTATGCAAAAGAGAATATATCTGCATATAGAGATCAATTTATTAATAGAATATATTTAACAGGCAGCCAACCTGAATAGTTATTAATTCAATATTTTTGTACATATTGTGTCCTTTTCCAAAATGTCATTTCTGGATAAGAAGGAGGAAGATATAAGTGTGTGTGTGTGTGTGCGCGCGCGCGTGCGCGCATCCCACTGACATTTCTTGGGGTGGGAAGAAAACTGACAGGATATGTCTCAACTGGAGTTGGCAAGACTAATTTGACATGGTAGGAACCTGGGAATCACAAATTAAGGTTACCTTTTCCAATTAAATATGTTATTTAAGGCAGTGGTCCCCAACCTTTCCGGCTCAGCGGACAGGCAGTGGCGAGGGGAGAGGGAATGGTTTGGTGCATGTGCGTGCATACCACTTTCACAAATGCAGCTTAGTGCCCATGTGCGAGCACTCGCCACTTCTGCAGCTCGATTCTGAACAGACTTTGGCCCAGCACTGGGCCACGGACTGGGGGTTGCGGTCCTGAAGTCATTCTGAAGCCATACTACCATTGTTTATTTTGCCTAAGAACACCTTATTTGCAAAAATAATAAGTTACTTTTTCTTATATTTCTCTCTCTCTTATACATGCATGCATTTTTGCCAATACAGGTAGTCCCCGAGGTACGAGTCTAATAGAGCCTGCCCATTAGGCTCGTAATCGTCAAATGAATCAGACTTAATATTACAACATTTTAAAATCAAAATCATTAACTGAATCAAATGGGTCATTAAATGAACAAAGATTTGATTTACTATTTCTTCCAATGGCTGCCTGAAATGAGAGACTTTTCCTGCCACTGTTGCAGGCTGTTTCCAGCCACAAATCAGCTGTTTCCGGTTGGAAACAGTACTTGTAAACTACCTCCCAAGTAGGTAGTAGGATTTTTTTTAAAAAGCCATTTGTTGCTAGGCAGGGGGATGGAGAACTCTACAATTGCAGCTGCCACTAAAGTAAAGTGTCTCCAGTTTACAGAAATCTCCGATTGCTTTAAAACACACACACACAAACACTTGCCGGCCATTAGCTTAAGCATCTCCAGCCAGGCATGCAGAGGGAGATGGGGTGGAGTTTACAGAACTGTTGGCTTGCAACAGTAACTGAGATGGAAGGGACCTTGAGGTCATCTAGTCTAACCCACTGCTCTCACAAGAGAGAAAAGTACTATACTGTATTTCTGATAAATGCCTATCCAGACTCTTCTTAAAAGCCTCCAGTGAGAGAACACACACAACTTCTGGAGGCAATCTAAATTTAAAACCTTTTTTTTAAAAAAAACCAAAACTTCTCCTTATCAGGACAAGCCTCTCAGCCAAAATCCAAAATGGGGTTCCTTCCAGTAAGTTTTAGCAGAATCTCTGGTGGGTCTATGCTAGGGAAAGGAGGAGCAGCAGCCACATGCTATACGTTTCAGGCAAATGCAAACAATCAATCTTGCAAAATGCTGTACTTACAAAACAGTAAAAAGCAGAGCAATTCCCAAAGTAATTACAAACAATACAGTACAGTACTATAGAGTAACAAAAAATAATATTTTAAAATACTTACAGAAGTAATTCTAGCTCTCTACAAACCCAGTCCCCAAGCCCAACAAGCAGCAGATCTTCCACGCTGCTCCAGGAAAACAAGAACAAACGGTCCTACCGGCTGCAAAAATCTTGACCAGGCACAAAAAACAAAGTGAAACAAAACAAAAACCCACTTTCGGCTTTTTGTAGGCCTGAACTAGCCCAGGCAAGTCACAGAGTTAAAATGGCCACCGCAGCAGCCGAGACTGAATCCAAGTCACTTGGCTACAGAGGCCTGTTTTTGATCGCAATTTTGAATTTTTAATGTAAGTACCCTTTCTGAATAACCTTGTTTTTGTGAAATATCGCTAAATAAACACTCGTATCTGGGGATTACCTGTATTAAAAATACTTTATCAAACTGTGAAATTAGACAATATTTTTCTTGTTCATTTGGAAGAAAGGTAGTAAGAAACTCAACAGTATTAAGTATGCAAACTAAGACAGATTTTTACCACTAAAAAAGACAAATTACTTACCATGAAATGTCACTTAGAGTATGGTAATGTATGTTAGATACATAACCAAAAGGAAAGGTTTGCTGTGTATCATAGAAGAGCACAGAATCCTCTGAAGCAACAGCAAAAACCAACCGATAAGGCAGATTTGTTAGACCAATCTTTTGGGAAGTTTCTTCTATAACAACCAAAAATGTTTCTTATAAAAATCATACCTTACTGACAAGATTATAAACTACTACAGGATTCTCTTATATTTAAGAATGATTAGAGACAGAATTTGATTATTCTAAATTTTATTAAAATTTTATTATCAATTTGATTATTAATCACTGAGTAGAAGGAACTCTTATTCAGTATGGGATTTGAAATCTCTCTCTGAATATTATTACCAGCATCACAGTCTGGTTTGGAAGCATCACTGCTTCAGACAGGAAGGCGGTGCAGAGAGTAGTGAGAATGGCCGAAAGGATCATTGGCAGTTCCCTCCCTCCCATCCAGGACACAGCACAGAAGCGTTGCTTGAGCAGGGCCCGTAAGATCATCTGGGACACTACACATCCTCTTCACGACCTGTTTTCCTTGCTACCTTCTGGAGGAGGCTTCGTGGTATCCGAAGCAGAACATCCAGATACAGCCATAGTTTCATTCCATACAGCATTAACCCTGTGAACTCTCAAGCTTCCTCCTTCCGTTATATATTCAAGATGGACAGTATTTAATGTTTATTTGCTATGTATATGTTGGGGTGTGGGTCTATACATATGTTGTACATAGTATGTTTAGGTGTGTGTCATGTATGTGTTCACTTTGAGAGCGGGCAACTAAATTTCATTTTTGATCTGTGCCGTTGTGCCCACAGTAAAAAAAAATGACAATAAAGGTTATCTTATCTTATAAATAGAAAACAATTTACTGGCATTGAAAAATTTAAAGAATATTGAATTGCAACAACTTTTTGCATACATATATACATAAAAAAGATAAAGGAGTCTCTGCAGATTTTACTCCGTTAGTCGTTGCTGACTATAGGGGCGGTGCTCATCACTGTTTCAAGGCTATTGTGCCAGTGCACTCCAAAGACATTTTTGCGGTCATGTGGCCAGCATGACATCACGGAGCACTATTACTTCCCACCAAAGTGACACATATTTATCTACTCGCATTTGCATGCTTTCAAACTGCTAGGATGGCAGCAGCTGGGGCAAGAACAGGCACTCACCCTGTCGCATGGTGCTTGGGTCTCAAACCTGGGCTGCTAGCTTTCCAGACGACAAGCCCAGCATCTTAACCGCTGAGCTACCACATCGCCCCATATGTATGTATGTATGTATGTTAAATTTAGATTTTGCCGACAAAGAGTTAAAGGGAGACTAGTATAGCTATTTCAAGCTATTTAGTTCTCATCAGCTAGCCATACCCTTCTGAGATTTGAACCTGGGCCGCTTGCATGTTAGGCAGCTGTATTAACCTCTAAGACACAGGTTCTCCTCACTTCTGTCAGCTAACCAGGGAGGATACATAGTAAGTGTTTTCCGGTGAAACCGGTCTAATAGAACACCTTGTCTATTGCTATGATTACTTTTGCCTTTCAGCCCCAATCTAGGAGCGTTTTGTAGGCTAAAGTTACTACTTTGTCAGCAAAATCTAAATTTAACACAGAAATAGTTTATCGCAGTAGCGACTTTAGCCTGCAAAACGCTCTTAGATTGGGGCTGAAAGGCAAAAGTAATCATAGCAGTAGACCAGGTGTTCTATTAGACCGGTTTCACCGGAAAAACACTTAGTAGGTATTTGTGTGTATATATACACACACACAGACACACAAACAAACAATGATTTCCTATTATCGATGTAGAACAAGTCATAGCATAATTTAACTTGTTTTTATTGGTTACCACAATGTAACCATTTTAATTTTTATTTAATTTTAATTTTAAATATTCTTTTAAGATAAACTAATATAGACTTTAGGGGTTAGTGATATACTAAGTCAAATAAAATGAAACAGCATAAAACACAGTAATGATATATAGCAGAGAGCTGGAGATGACAAATAAGATTTGTGATTTTGCATTATAAAAGAGGAAGATGTAGAACAGAATATTCACTAGTTTAATTATATTTAATTTATTTTTAATAAACCTGCAATATAAACAACTATCTAACAGATTCAAAATACCTTTGTTACATGCAGATCTCAATTCAAAGTAGACAGGGCAGCAACGAACAGCTAATGTTGCCTTCCCAGGACAAGGTAGATGAGCAATGGGTCTAAAAAATAACAGCAGGTTTTAAAAATAAAAATAGAAATTACAGAATGCATTTAATATTTACATAAATATGGAGTTAATTCAGCCCTCACCTTTTCAGATTTTTTCTGGAGAAGACATAAGTAGTGTTCATTACATTTTCACCTGATTCCACACAGCCTGCTGAGAATATGAAAACAGTGCCAAAATGTCAGTTTTACAATGTTGGATAATGCCAAGTGTAATCAACATTGCCAATTTAAATAATTCGTATGTTTATATTTGCTTCAAATGTACATAGCCCATAATGAAGATTTGCATTATTGTTCTATTGAAAAGAATCTATTTTCTAATTTCTAATATCTATATCTAAGATACCTGTATATATTCATATTATACTTAAAGTGGTTTATAACACGTGACAACAGTTAGAAATGCATATCTTTGACCATGTATCTTCCTATTAGGACAAATTAAAAGAAGTTCATTAGAGGCACATTATTGAGAAAACATTCAACATGAAAGCAATTCATTCATAATTCATTACTACAAAAGAATAACATGTATAGGAGATGACAGCTATAGAAAATGCTCTTTTTAAAAGATGCAAAGGAACAGCCATATTCCAAAGGAACAGCCATACAGCAGAAATTTGTGGAACACTTTTGTTGAAACATGAAACTATATGTAACATTATTTTGCATAGCATCTTTTGGAATACTTATTAAATATACATATATAATTTAATTACATTTATAATTATATTTACTAATTGAGTTTGCTTTAAAATGTTTTTGCTTTTGCATTCAAGCAGAATCATAAGCGAAAGAAATCTAATTAGTTTAGAATCTCTTAATTTTGATAATTTGATATTGGCAAAAATTGAAGTTAAAAACATATAATTGTAAGTGGCCTAGGGTCACATTTGGCAAGATGGGTGGTACTTAATAAATAAATGAAATAAGAACCCAACAACAAGGTAATAAACTGAGTAATTCTCGGCCCAATACACTCTGTCTGTCTGTCTGTCTGCCTGCCTGCCTGCCTGCCCATCCATCCGTCCATCCATCTATACCAAATTTATATAGCCACACAACTCACACACAGTGACCCTGTACAACATTAAAAATCTACAGTTAAAAACCCACAATTTAAATACTCCCCTTTGAACTCAAAAGAAATATAAATACTTTTTGTGCATTTGGAAGTTGAGGAATTAAAGAGCAAAATCCAATCTCCCCAAAATATTTCACATTTGTAATGCAGGCCTTGACGACAAAAGTCATGTTTCTGATTTAGAGTAATCAAAATAATAAAAAATGTCAGCATGCCTCACATTACATGCTAACATGAACAGTTGTTTTTTTTCCAAAATGCTCAGAGACCCATGACCTCTACAGAACTGTATGAAATAACGAAAGTAAAACTGCTTACCAGGAACCAGAAGTAGAGAACCATCAGGAGTAAAAGTCAATCTCCGGAAAAAGGACTTCATGCTGTCATCGTGAAACATTCTATAACTTTTCACCTGAATTTTTTTTAACAATGATAAAATAATTCTGTTCAATACCAATTGCTGCACGAACGAACACAGTGATTTTGGATATTTTTATTCAGAAAGTCATAGTCTAGTTTACACTGTGATCATAATCTGCTGCTAAATTCCAATTCTATCAAAGAGACTTGCAATCCAGTAATATCTGGGGATTACTTATAAATAATGTCTCAATCTTTAAGAAATTATTCTTTTTTACATGTATCTATGCATTTTTAATTTATGCTTACTGAATCTATAGATCTGCCTTGTCAGATAGGAAAACAACGTACAAATATAGCAACAACCTTTAAAACAATCTGATTTAGAACTTACTCAATATCTTCCTGTTTTTCGTCTTTTTTTAAGTTGATTTAATTCAGTGGATAATTTCATATATTAAAAAAAAATCAAAATGAAACAAATCCAGTTTACCAATTCTGGGATTCTCGCAGAGAATATGATTGGGAACTTTCACAAGATGGTAGCTGGGAAATCTTGCTAGTCACAAAATTAAAATGCACTTGTATTGCTAACTATTCCCCCACCCCCCTATATTTCTTTTTTTCCTGGGAAAATAGGTACACTTTCAAACAAAGTACTGGACTATAGCTGCTCATTTTTAATTTTTGAGAAAGCTCATTAGCTCATATGGTGGCTAAAGACATCTTGGAAATAAATATAATTCAGTCAAATTGTTTTATAGCATGCCAGGCACTTTTAATAAAAATAGCTTTAAAGATGTAAAAAGATGTGAAAGCTTTGTAGGTTCCAATGAAAGGTAATGTATATGAAGGCCCACGGACACTTGCAAGACTCATGCTAGGAAACCCAGTTGTGAAGCAAAGGCATAAGAGGAATTTTTAATCAGTTAACTACATGTTACTAACTACTAAAAAAATTGAGTGAAACAATCTTGAATTGAGTATGATATACCACATACTTCTGATATTTTACTGTTTATACATGTGGATCCCATATCTAGTTATAGGCATGGTGGTGACAGCAATCATGTCTAAATGTTCAGAATATCATAGGAGCAGAAGCAACTTGAGAGTCTTCTGGCTCCATCCCTGCCCATGGGTAGGAAGCCTCAACCATCTTAGACAAATAGCTGCCCAACATTGATGAAGTCCCCACAACTGATGAAGTCCCCATAACTCCAGAAAGCAGACTGTTCCACTACTTAACAGCTCCTATAATCAATAAAGAATTCCTTATTGAATTTCATTTCCTCTCTGTAAAGCTTGATCCACTTGTTTTTTGCCCTTCATCTATGGATATACCAGCACTGCCACCAGCCTAGTATTGCCTGTCTTGTATTTGTGCATCTGATTTTTCCTGCCGAAGTGCAGAATATTATATTTCTCACTGCTGAATTGGATTTTTATTGAAAAAGGCAAAAGGTTCAAGTGTCTCCAAACCCTTTTCAATTTTCACCCTGTTTTCTGAGATATTAGCAATCATCATCAGCTGTATTTCATCTGGAGATTTGCTGACCATCCCTTCTATCTCCTTGTCTAAGTTACTTATAAAAATGTTGAATACCTGGCCCAGGACAGAACCCTGAGGTTCCTACTACGTAACTCTCTTCATACAGATATAGTAGATCCATTAAGGACACATGATGGGAATATTTGTTCAAACAATTCTGAATCCATCTAGTAATCAGACCATCCATCCCATTTCATTAATTAGGAAGCTATAGTCAACTTTATCATATGCATTATTGAAGTCTTGGTACACTATATTCAAAGCATTCCCTTGATCTGCTGATCTAGTCATTGTATCAGAAAAAAATCAATAAGATTAATCTGGCACAATCTATTTTTAATAAAACCATCCTGTATTTAGTGAAGATCTTATCCCTTTCTAAATGTTTACAAAGCCACAACTTGATTATCTTTTTCTAAATATTTCCCAGCTATTGATGTAAAGCTGATTGATCTGCAGCTTTCTGGGTCAATTTTTTTCGCCCTTAAAAAAGATTATAATACAATCTTTTTCTGCAAATCCCCTGCACTCCAAGATTACCCTCAGATAATATTCACCAGTTCCTTTAACACCCTGACATGTAATCTGCCAGGCTCCAGTGACATGAATTCATTCAAAACAGCTTCTCTTCCCCACATCATTGTCCAGCTGGAGTGGTTTAGAATGAAAGAAGTTTCTTTTGGAAGGCTATATTACTATCTGAAATTAGGACAATAATGTAGAATGGAAGATAAAAAGGAGACCTAGTCTCTGAAAATTCTCATTCCTTTTTGGTCTCCTCACTTCTGCTCTCTTTTGGGGCAAAAATGAAGGGCAAAATCTGTTAATTAGAAGCAATGATGAAAATATTCTTCAGTGTATATTTTCAGTGATAAAGAGTATAAATACACTGATATTTATTTATCATACAAATATTATCAAAATATTTAAATATTTTTAATATTTCAGAACTATAGCTAGAAAGAGTTTTAATTAATTCTGACCTCTCCTTCAGAGCCTCCTCCTGATAACATTTTAGTAACATTGAATGCCACTCTCTTGGTCTGTGTGTTATACACTCTCAGTATCCTACATAAAAGAAAAGTATTAATTACAAACATTGAATTAAGTAACTGCATGGTGATAAAAATGCCTGCGTTCTAAAGCTTTTCTAGAAAAAACACTAGTATCAATTTCAATGTTCTACAATTAGGCTTGTACATTGATTTGGATTTGATTTGGAAGGATGTGCAGAAGTATAAACGTAGTACTAGACCATGACTCATTAAGACAGGCCATATTTCTAGGCATACATGGCTGCAGTGGAAGCTTGTCTTCCGCAACTGTACAATTATGAAAAAAGATGAAGTTGTCTGAATAAGTTGGAGATAGCTCCTGTGCATCTTGAAGCATCTCGGCTAAATCAAAACCAAAGCCTTGTGCAACACTAATAGCTACAATACCATTTAGTACAGATCTATACAATTTTTGTTTAGGAACAATATAATAATACAGTAATATTTAAAGGAAATTGATGCATAAGATTACTGTATTATATCTGAGAGTTATTTCCAATGATCTTTGAATATATATATATCTGAATAGAACAAGTACATAATTTTTTTAATATTAGAAAAAAACCTAAACTTTATTGGTGCATAGCAGCACATAAAACAAAAGATTCTATGGCCTCTAGCCTGGATTACTATGGACCATTAGATATATTGCCTAACTGTTGTAAACACTTTTAAACAATGCAGAATCAATTAAAATAACAATCTCATATTCCAAGCAGTAAAAACGTACCTATCACAACTAAGAGTCGCAATGTACTGTCCTACAGGGTCCCATGTAACTCCTTGCACGTAACTTTTGTGTTCATTGAAAATAGAAACCTTTTGCCCTAGAAACAACACTAAGTTAGTTTTCAAAACAGTGAGACAAATAATTCTGTTTATAGCAATTTCCCTCATATCAATTTTTATAACCTATATTTTTTCTTTCCATTTTAGAAACTAATTAGAGAAATAAGTACAATAGACAATTTCATTTTTATGCAGTTAAAATCAATATGTACTCTTTAATGATATAAAAATAAACGGTATTATTATAAGCAATTAAATTGCATATTTGTTTTAAATAGGAGAGTCAGCAATCTAATAATTTTGAAATGCTCTTTGGTTGCAAATTTAATATTCTTAACACTAATACTTCTTTTTGCTGCTTCTAGCATATTATCCACATGTTGGAATATAGCATAAGTCACTCCATTTTGTTAACCTTCAGCAAGCTTAATAGTGCTTACGTGTTAGGTTGCAATTAGCAGCTGCAAACACGTAAGAACAGAGAACAAAGAGACAAGTCAAAAGAACTGTCTATGCAAGCTACTATATTATCGCTTCCTGATAAGACCTTCCAATGTGAACCACAATGGCAACTTT